GTAGAGGAAGCCGCTTGATCACCTGAGGGGCATCGATGATGCGTGGTTGGCGATGAAAGTGGCAGAGGGCAGCGAGAGAGAGTGTCTACATCCTGATGCTGTTTGCCAGACCAGTACACAACGTCAAAAGTGTACTCTTGCGAACGGAGTATCCAGCGACCGAGTCGCCCAGACAAGTTATTCAGCGAGGACAACCAGCATAGGGCATGGTGGTCGGTAATCACAGTAAAGTGGCGTGCATACAGATAAGGTCGAAACTTCTGGATGGGCCAAACGACAGCAAGACATTCCTGCTGTGTTATCGAGTAGTTCTGCTCCGCAAGTGTTAGTGCGCGGCTGGCATACGCAACTACTCGCTCACGTGAAGTGTCATCGCCCTGGAGGAGGACGGCACCGATTTCCTGGCCGCTGGCATCTGTGTGAAGGAAAGTTGGTGTGCTCTCATCGAAGTGACGGAGGACGGGGTCTGATGTCAAAGCACGTTTAAGAGCTTGGAAAGCACACTCGCACTCGTCAGTCCATGCGAAAGCCGTTCCTGATGTGAGAAGCTTGTGTAACGGCCCCGCAATCGCAGCAAAGAGACTGATAAAGCGACGGAAGTAAGATGCCAGGCCCACGAAACTTCGCAATTGTTTTGATTGCCCGGACGTAGAAAATTATTTACGGCAGCAATTTGTCGGGGTCGGGTCAAACGCCATTCTTTCTGATAAGGTGACCCAATACTTTTATGCTCCTGCTGGCGAAGTGGCACTTCTTTGTACTGAGCTGAAGCCCAGCGTTCGAAATACACGTAAGAACTTCGTCCGAACGCTTAAAGTACTGAGGAAAAGTAGAAGAATAAATTACGATGTCGTCCAAATAGCATAAGCAGGTTTTCCACTTGAGACCACGTAAGACAGTATCTATCATGCGCTCGAATGTTGCCGGAGCGTTGCATAAGCCAAAAGGCATGACGTTGAACTCGTAAAGCCCGTCAGGCGTTGCAAACGCTGTTTTTTCCTTGTCTGCTTCGCGCATAGGTATTTGTCAATACCCGGATCGAAAGTCAAGGCTGGAGAAATATTCTGCGCCTTGTAGGAAGTCCTCTATGCGTGGCAACGGATATACATCTTTTTTCGTTATCTTATTGAGCACTCTGTATTCAACACAAAAACGAACAGTCATCCTTTTTGCTGACCAACACCACCGGAGACTACCAAGAGCTGGAAGAAGGTCGAATAATATCCCGTTTGAGCATGTCGGCGACGTTTTCCTCAATCATTTGCCGTTCCGCCGAAGACAGACGGTATGGGCGGCGGCGCACAATGGAGCTGCCTTCGGTTTCGATGTTGTGCTCTGCAACAGAGGTGCGGCCCAAAACTTTGGAATGTACGTCGAACGAAAAGCTGTGCATTTGGAGAAGGTCTAAGAGGTCTCTCGTTTGCTCAGTAGTGAGGTGAGGACTTACGGTAGCATATAAAACAGCAGTGGTTGCCTTGGTATCGGCTGTAGCAGACAAAGGCGGTGATTCTGCGTGAAGAGGAACCAGCGAAAAAAAGCCTCGCTGTCAGCAAAGTAGCTCACTGCAGTGCCCTGGAGCAGCATCACTGGCGAAAAAGTTGGGTTCAAGGTGGTGAGCAATGCCTTACCGTCGTTAAACCGCACAATGCCGGGTGCAATGGTAAGCCCCGGAGGTTTGCAGAGAACTGATGGAGCAATGAACACGTCACCGTTAACTATAGTATCCGAAGCGATCGTGAGAACTCGTTCATCCCCTGGCGAAATGAAACAATCCGTGGCAGCAACGAAATGGAAGCTGTATGGATCTACATCAGATGAACTCTCAGTAGCTAACACATGAATTACTCGCTGACGACACGATATGAAAGCTGATGCCGAAGAAAGGAAGTCCCATCCTAAAATGACTGTGTGAGTGCACAAACGAAGTACAAGATACCGACTGTGGTGAAGGATGCCATCTATGAAAACGCGGACTGTACAAACACTTGAAGGCTGGATAGAGACTCCATCTGCGCAACGAAGGGGAGGCCATCGTATGGCGTCCCAACGTTTTTCAAGCGGGCACAAAAGTCTGCACGAATTACGGAAAGTGGTGCGCCTGTGTCTAGTAGTGCCTCTGTCTGTATACCTTCAACATACACCAAAAAAACATTTGATGGGCGGTCTAGAGGAGTTTGACGCAGTTCGAAAGATGCAGCTTTCCCTCCCGAAGCTGCACTGTTTAGTTTTCCAGTTAGCGGTCGTGAATCGAAGTAGAAGGTCGAAGGGGAGATGAGGAACGCCGCATCGGTGATGGTGAGCGACGACGTGAGAAACGGGAACTGCCAACTGAGGCAAAGTTCTGCAGAGACGGCGACCGGCATGTGCTGTTCTGATACAGTGGGCGATAGGGTGGTCCAGTTGGGTAGAAGTCGTCCCGTTCATAGTCACCGTAACTTGGTCTTTCGTCTTGTTGACGGCGTCGGCAAAACTTTCAAATATGACCGCGGATGCCGCAATAAAAGCAAGTTGGTAGTGTAGTGCGCCAGGTGTTGTAAGGCTGGGAAGATGGTCGCGGTGCGAGCGAGTTGAGCGAACCATGCACATCGGGCGCTGGTAGCTGCATTGGGCTTTGCTGCCGTTCAGGTGTCCTAGCAGCAACCTGAGCATAAGTTGGCATGGCCACAGGATATGAACTCGGAACAGGTGTGACAGTCATCGAGGCCAGGCTTTGGCGGGGCGCAGGCGTCATTGCAGCAACGTGAGAATAACTTGGCATGTGCACAGGGTGTGAGCTCGGAACTGGTGTGCCTGTGATCAAGGCCAGTTCCTCCCTCATGACGTCGCGTAAACTAGTAGCAGGTGGCGTCATTCGAATATCAAGGTGGCGAGGTGAAGCCTGTGCATGAAGTTCCTCGCAGATGATAGAGCGGATCAATGCACGCAGCTCTGTTGTGTCATGACTCGAGCTGAGATTAGGCATATCAGGTTGCACCCGAGTGGTTTGAAGCTCCTCGAGGCGCTGACATGTATCTGGGGATTCTGCACCACAAGCGCATTAAAAGCAAGTCACAATGCCTTTTAACAGGTGGCGCACACGGTCGTTTTCCGCCATATGATTGTCGATGCGGCAGCGAAGGGCGAGAATATCTTCAATGTAAGAAGTGCAAGACTCGCCGGGGCGTTGAACACGCGCACCAAGCCTTTTCTTGGCAATATCCGAGCGCACCGACGGGTTGGCGAAAATCTGGTGGAGCTGGCGCGTAAAGGCGGGCCATGTCAAGAAATCTGTAGCGTGGTTTAAAAACCACGTTTTGCGACGCCGCTCAAGCAGAATGCAACGTGGATGAGTTTCGCAGGCTCATCCCAGTTGTTGATGGCACTCACGCGGTCATACTCCTTAAGCCAGTCCTCCACGTCCTCACCCGGAAGCACTGCGAACAGCGGAGGATCCTTTTGAGGGCTGGTGACCAGGTGAAAAGGGTTTCTTGACGGTGGGAGCGATGGCGCAGCTGCTGCGCTGGGCTGGTCGGCTTGCGACATTACCGAACCCAGCTTGTTTAAGCAGCGGCCTAAACGGAGCTCCAGGGATGTGTTCTAGAAGACGCTGGGGGTTGTCTGAGAGCGCGAAAGGACGCAGGAATCGGGCAGCACTCTCCACCACTTGTAAGATCGCGTCCAGTACCCTCAAGACTCTTTTTTATTGTCTCGAGTATGTTCCGCACAACCTAAACTGGAGTGGTGATGTTGAGTACGTACAGATGAAAATATGGAATGAGTAATGATGCTCACAATATATATATATATATATATATATATATATATATATATATATATATATATATATATATATATATATACATATATATATATATATATATATAGAAAAGTGGGTGAAGAAATAGCGTTCAGTGTTGTTATTCACCCACTTTTCTTTCTTCTTATTTACATTACTTGGTTCTAATAACTTCTCCTATACATTCCTTGACATTAAGGTCTGTTAGATCTCTATGATATTTTGTCAAAACACGGAAAAAACGAGCCCTTAGGTATACACTTCTTTTCCCATATATATCAATCTTGAATTAGCTTGCATATAGAGCAATCTTGAATTTAGCTGACGCTACCTTGTTCTCGGCAACACATTTCCTGGAATAAGTATGTGAACTAAAAATGTCTGCAGAGGCCAACATTCTCACGGGAAACAATCTAGCTGTCAATTTAAGACTGTTTTTGGCAGGGGCATTGCACCTGCACTGTAAACAAGCTTTCATCCTTTGGGATTATTTTCCGTGTCTATAAGAAATACCCTACGGTAAGTGTGTTTTCACGCCCCGCCATGGTGGTCTAGTGGCTAAGGTACTCGGCTGCTGACCCGCAGGTCGCGGGTTCGAATCCCGGCTGCGGCGGCTGCATTTCCGATGGAGGCGGAAATGTTGTAGGCCCGTGTGCTCAGATTTGGGTGCACGTTAAAGAACCCCAGGTGGTCGAAATTTCCGGAGCCCTCCACTACGGCGTCTCTCATAATCATATGGTGGTTTTGGGACGTTAAACCCCACAAATCAATCAGTGTGTTTTCACAAACCAAAACATCAATGCAATGGGTGATTTGAAACACCAGACCATCCATGACATCTGTTTTTTGATTAGTCAAAGCACCCTTATGGTAGAGTCATATGAATGTCAAAAAACGCCCTTCGCGGTACAAACTGGTGTATAGAGTAGAGCGCAAAGCAAGAAACAACCACAAAGGAACTAACAAGGAAGCACGAACAAAGCATGCTTCCTGTCAGTTTGAAACTTTGGCGTCATTCTAAAAAGGAAACACTATGTACAAGGGTGAAACATGTTTTCTATTTATCGTCACTGTTTGGCAGCCCAACGGCATAGCGTAACACGTGTTCTGAAGAGTGCTTAGCTGCTGCAAGCTTTTTCAAAATTGTTTTTTTAGGTTTGCACGCAACTCAAAGTTGACTATAAAGAGGGAAGAGCTGTCGGCAAGCCATTTCACCCCTGTGCAGAGCTCAAACAAGCCTATCGTTAGTATTATCTGCTAAAGGGAAACATTACTAAAAAAGGGCCGGATACGTCAAGCTGGCGGTGAGTCCCGTAATATTGTAGACCTTGTAGACAATTTGCATGTCGTATATACATGACGCGTTGCGATTCCAACTGTGACGCGTCATGTGATTCTAACGCGTCACTGTGATTCCAACACAATCTAAAACTGTGTGCATTGAGAGTTTAGAAGAAAGCTTTGGGGCCTAGTTATCCGAGTTAGTGAGTGAATGTGTCGTGAAGAAGTGATACCATTTTTCGGAGAAAAAAAATCGAGCCACAAACAAACCTGAATTTCCGGTAACCAGCCATGAACTGCGAGCTCCACAAATTTCGAACAGGTGGCTCTTCCCGTAAGTTTTAGATGCTTCTGCATACCTGCTAATTTACGTGGACCAGCAAACTAGCCTGCATCACTTTTTAACTTTGAGACAATCTCGGGTACCAACTCAAAATGAACGCTGTCCAGTTTGTTGTTTATTTCGCCACTTCCGATGAGCATTGCAAAGAGATTGTACTCGCGCAAGAACTTCACTTCATAAGTTGAAAAATAGGCTGCTTCGTATCGAAACCTAAATAATGAAGCAGAATGAAGAGACAGAAAACCTTTCGAAGTGTTGTCATATACCAGCGCATAACTTCCAGAAAAACTTAACGGAAAACAATTACTTGCAACCACGTCCTATACCTTAAAGGGACGTTTACAATTAGCATGTTATTTCCTCGCTATTTAAGAAATCTCGTTAACAATGTAGACAACTGCTTTAATAGTGATATTTCGATCGTGCTGTAGTTAAGGAAGAGTGTTTTCAGCATTCACACTTGGTGCTGTGAAAAACATTGAGGTACTGCGTGTTATCGGACACCGTACCCCTTCCGTAGCTTTCTAAGTTATGCTTTGGCCTAGGGCTCACTTGATTGTTCCGTGCTGAACGGTTGTGTCACCAGCGATCTCCGTCGCCATCGTATCTCTCTCCGATCAGCCCATATTCCGAAAACTCCTGTTGCCGAATCGCTCCCTATCAGTGGTGCCTCGTCCTTTGAATCATTTGACCGTGTTCTAACTTTTTCTTGATATTACTTTTTCACTCTATCCCTTTTAATCCCTCTTTATCCCATTCTCTTGTAAGCTACTGCTGAGGTGTCGCACTTTACCGCGACAGCATCAGGGCTCATCTTAAAACCACTTCCCCCAGTGCTCTGGCCTAGAGTTTTATGAACTCCATCTTCGCAGCTTTCTGTGAAGCGTTCTTGTCGGGAGCAATCGGCTAGCGTTCATGAGCATTTTGGGTTATTTAACGTAGGGGCCTTGTAATCTGAGGCAGCTGGCCAACAAATACCCCACGACTACTAAAACGCGTGTTTGCCATAATTTCTCCAAAAATCGGCATTTAGTTTATATGTGCAGCAGTTCTTGTCGAATGCAACTGGTTTACCAGAGTGGGCTTTTATTAGACCCACAAAATATATCGATGAAGCCTTTATTGGCTACAATGATTTGTTTCGCTCGTACAGCAATTTCTAATGGTTCATATCTATATCCTGCAAGTGTGAATGTATAGCCCAGTAATTATTACTATGCTTTCCTTAGTGTGAGAGCATCAGTTCGAAACGTTGACAACCAAAAATGAAAATTTTTATACGTTAATTTTTTATAGTGACCATTATCGCGTGACAGAGATGGATAGTTCTCGTTGAGTGGGTGTACAAATTATCACAGATACAATAAATACTGAAAATATGTGCCACAGGCATATATGCGCTTCGGCGGTCTACATAGCACGAACGCACTTCAGAGGACCATGTTAGTGATAAATTACTTTCAGTACGCAGCATTTTTGAATACTCTGCTAACACAGAACACTCATTGACGCAAGGAGTATGTTTATTTAATTTATTGCATCACTGAGAGACAGCTCCAATGTGTCAAACAGTTAAAAAACGTTTTAATTGCAGATGTAAATATATGTATGCTTGCTAAGAAAAGACACTCTTAACCACAAAACCATCCCACACGGAGCTGCTCAACTCCCTCTCTCTCCCTTCACAGACATAGAGAGAAAGATAAATAAACTGAACCTGCACCCGCAGCAAAAATAACAACTTGCTATTTTTGTACGATTTCAATATGAATTATTTTTTTTATTTTTAGGGTAATACGTATATCAGCTCCTGAGCATTGCTGTAGGACATTTTTTGGTTGCTGGTAGTGATGTCGGATGGTCCCCTGAATTGATCTAGCTTCACAAATTTTGCGAAGAGCCCATACCTCTTGAAAGCACCTTGGGCAATTGGTCTGTTTTCCGGTTTTCTTTTTCTGAGCGATAAACGATGACGTTGGGACAGATTTATGCTAGACGCCAACACAAGAGGGTCATGTGAGGATTTTTCTCACTTTAGTTTCCTGTTTGCGTGCATCAGTCTAGCTTCGATATGTCGCAAACAGGCATTGACCTCCAATTAATGGCATTTATATCATTCATTGCGCTCTTGTGTAGTTTTGTGCTAGTTTATTTCTAAAGTTATAGTGAGAAGAATGAGGACAGAAAGAATTCTTATTGTGTGATTTTTATAACAAATATAATCGACATGTAGAACAATTTTATTTCTAAAATAAGGTACTGTGCGTTTCGTAACTGATACGCCAGATGGGTTGCACCAGACTATAAGAAACAACCAACTAACCAATACGCACGCACTTGCGCTCCATAGCTACCGCTTCTTTGGCACATAAAGTTGTAAGCGAATACTGAACAAATCTACATGCATGATGACTCCGTGCATGGGACTAATTGCCTACTAAATTCACGCCACCTATGTCTGGGGCTTAGGTAACTGATCCGTGAATGGTCTCATCGTGTGAAGTTATGAAGTTCATCTGTTTATTCGTGGTACTGTGCATGGCGACTACCATATTAGGTAAGTGGGCTTACCTAAACACTTTCAACACAAAATCTCAGGCTCAATTTTTGCCAGAAACTGTTGAAATAGCCATTTCCTATATTATTTTAATAATTACTTACCAGCGTAAGTTTTTAATACTGAATTGCTGTCAGGAATATTTCTGAAGCTTGCAGGAAAATGTAACAAAATTTTGGTAATTATATGTAAATTCATCTTTGAACGGCATCTCCAGGCTTTGTAGTAGTGTCTTTAGGTGCCTTCAATTCAAGTTGCGTGTTCTTATTACGTCATTCGTGGATTCAATTCATTTTTCTTTGTACGCAAGCCCTCGTTCTAACTCAATGCGAATAGTGGGCTTGCAAGCATTCGTTCTTTTTCTAACAATTGGTAATTATTTTCCTGATTTTGGTCTTCCACACCACCGTTTCATCATATCATCCTGTTTTTACTTCGGACATCGTTTTTTTCTGCGGGTACGACCACCAATATATATTGCAAATAAGAATAAAAGGATGGATAAAAACACGAGTGTGGTATGAGCGTGTACCTTACATAGAACTACTGCAGCGCATTGTAGACGCCAAGTGTAGTTCTACTAGTCAGAGTGCAATGCATTTCAAGCATTTCTTGTAGCCAGTAGTGCCGCATATCAAACTCCAAGCCCAATTAGCCATTAGTGGCTCCTCGTACGACGCTCGGATTTCAGCATTTAGACATGCCAACGAAACCTACGCACAGAAAGACTAGGTACATTGAGTTCTCAATTTACTGAAGGATTAGTCTTCTGAGAATAAAAAACCTTCATTATTAGGTGTAGATAATACCGGTGCTGTATTACGTTACTCCTGAAAGTGTGTCTACACTCAATTAGGAATCGAGTGAATTTGATATTCTGGTGTATCATGACGACCTTTCAAAAAGGGAAATATGTTACAAAATATACATCTCCACGCCAAATGCCCTTTTGTTTGCGTCCAATAACTTCTAAACAAATGGCGGACAAGTAAAAACGATGGACTTGTCTTCATGAGCTCACACTAAAGCAAGTTTTTACCCGCGAAGGGTCAGTCATCGTTAGTGACACATGCATAAGATCCCTCGTTTAGGTTTGTACTAATGACTGACCTTTTTCTCGCACTTGTAGCTCGCCCGCCTTATGGAGGTCCTGGCCGCAGGAGAGGCCCACCAGGTGGTTTCGGAAGAGGACCTGCACAGTGGTTTCCCGAAATGTTTGTAAGCACAGCGAATACCAAAAACATTGCATTCAGAAGAAGTTACTAGCGTCTTGAATGTCGGAGGCGTGCCATTCGAGATTGTGAAGTTAAGCAGTGGAGTTGTCTATGCTTGCAAAAACTACGCTAATCGCGAACAAAAATTATCATCTTTATGAACCAACACGCCCTCTCTTCCTCATGCGAAGTTAGGTTGCATTAGGGCTGGCTATTCAAACATTATGGCAGTAATACACAGGATAAACACCTTGATACGAAGCATATCGAAGAATAAATAAGTAAACAAATAATCACAGGCACTAAGTACATATATACAGCATAGGGCTTACGACGCATGAGCACAGCCAATGGGCAAAGTACAGTTCACAGAGACTAATCGTATCGCTCATAGAGTCCATATTAATAATAGTAAAGATCAATATAAAAGAAAGTGAAATACAAAAGAGGAAAAAGTACAGAGAAAAAAGACACACAAAAGAATGGAAAAAATTGCGGAACAAGAGCCAAAATTAAAGGCAGAAAAGGAAATAAAATCTGAGAAAGCGAGAAAGAGAAAGAGAGAAGCAGAAGGGGGAGAAAAGATGGCAGAAGCTAGACAGAGAAAGAAATTAAGAAATGAAAGAAGAAAAAAAATAGAAGGCCCAGAAAAGACACAAAAAAGGCGCAAAAAATCAAGAGGCAGAAAGAAAAAAAGAGGGATGACCACCACACACTGCACATTCATCAGTCTAGGAACAAGTAGCTATTGGTGCTCTCAATTTTTTGGATAACGTGTATCATTTTAATAAACAAAACAATAGTACGTCTATTAAAATGCGGTGCTCCAGGAATAACAGTTAGGGTGAATTACACAGGAGCGTTAGATTCTGAATAGCACCGAAGTGGGCACATGAATGGGTAACGGCAAATTCTAAATGTCGATATGCATGAAATGCAATTGTGAACTACCACTAAAAGCACTGAAAAAGTTCTGATAAAGCATTGTTTTATTAGCTCCATCGAATGCGCTCAGGCGGGTCCTTCGTCTTCTTGACGTGCTTTACTACACCCCCTTGATTTTATGAACGTGCGGCTAGCTGCGACAATGCTCTTCAACTGGGCCAATGTTGCTGCAGGAACCTTTTTATTAATCTAGAGGAATGAATAAAATGAACAAAGACTCCAAACCAAAAAAGAAAATCGCAGCAAGTAGACTACAGTCATCCACGAGGACACACGTGGTGACACAGCTTGTTTGAAACATGATGTTCACACACTTCGCAAAACTAGTGCAACCTAGCTTGCTCCTTAAAATGAAATGTAGAATAGGGCGTCAAATATAGCTCACGAGAGGAGCCTGATTTTAAGGTTTAAATTACCTTTGTTTTTTATTACTCTGCAAAATAAGCCCCACCGTCTAATTTACCGCTTTTCATCACTAGAGAATTGCGCTTGCCAGGCACGCTAACCCCTGGGCCATAATAACAAGCCTTGCGGGCTTTAACTATACGCCTTGAGTGTCAACTACTACCTCTCACAGCAGCATTGGTTAAGTGCAGTAATGCATAATGATCATGATATACGTGGTTAATTTCTTCAACGCACCGTTTCTAAGTGTCCGTCCCATCGAGTGCGTTTTCAACACAATATATGCACTCTTATTAAGGCTTTAATACACCCCCATGTGTATTAAAGAAACGTTTTACTTTCATGCTTTAGCGATTCTTATGATGGAGGGATAAACAGTGTGCTTTTTTTTTATTACTGGTTAAATAACGCCACATCTACATAAACAGCCGCCACCCACTGTAATACGCAAAACTACAACTATGTCAAACTAAAAAAACTACTGATAAAATATAATCTACTTTTTCTATACTTTTTTCGAAGTATAACTTTTTCTATACTTTAAAACATATGCCAGTGGTTCTACACTTGCGAGCCAGTCGAGAACTCCGTTGCAAAAGCGCCCTAGACAGCCTTTATGTCGTGAAAGAACCGCGTTAAAATAAAAATTATATCACAATAAAAAATTTAGATAAGAATGAGGTGTCAGATAATGCAAATCCTATCCCCTTGCCTCACATATTATTATTTGCGTGTTAAGGGGGTTAATGAATCCTTCTAACCCATTACAAATGGCTCAGCTATAAGTAGTCGCTATCATCAACCACCACCCTAATATATATATCATAGTGGGCACCCTCCAAGTGTACTTGTACCGGTTGCACCAGGGTAGTCTACAAGGGGCTCTACAAATGCCACCCTGCAAAATTTCGCTGTTACAATGCTGCATTTTCTGCACAGGCTGGGCGTTTCCTTTTCTCGTAAGCTGCACGAATTAGGAATGAATTGATCAACTACCACAAAATGGACGGGAATTGAGCGTAGCCTTGCACTTACCCTGACCAACTTATCTCAACCAACATGGCCCTACTGTAGCATTCGACAGCATTTCATATTGCCTGTTACAGCAGATTATGCCAAATTTGCGATAAAACAAGAGTATATTGCATTTCGAACTATATTTTCCAGTAAAAAAATAAGCAACTTGTAGCCAGACTACGCATGGTTTCAACAACTTTTCATTAATCATCAAGGACTAAAAAGCAGAGCAATTTTTCGTTAGAGACAGCCTTTATGAATACCGATGGACAATGGATCCAATAAAGGTACAGTGGCCTTTGAAACGTAACATTAATTGCTGATAACTGGCGGGGTTTCATGTCCCCATACCAAGATCATATTTCAACACTATTTTAATAATTTAGCACAAAACTGCAAAGCAATTGACCTTGAAGAAAAAGTCACAGCTTTGCCGCAAAGGCCAAGCAGATAGAATAGTGCCCCGTATTTTTTAAGCATAAATAACGCACAAAACGTAATCATAGGCACAGATGAACGCGACTATCTTATGACAAAGGTAGAGAACCTGTTAGACGTGCATAGCCGCTAGACACTTATCCGTGCCTCAAGAAGTTTTTTTGGCGGATACATATGCTCGTGCACTTGTTGTAAAGTGCAGTGTGTGACTGGGGCCGGAATGATTGCACAAAATCAGTTTCACCGAAAATGTCAAACAACGAACGTGATGGCGACGAATTGCAATATTATACAAAGTAAGCCTGCAAGTCAACTCATTCAGATCCGATATCACTTAGCTGATTGATATGTGGTTTTACCGTCCGAAACCATGATATAATTATGAGAGACGCCGTAGTGGAGGGCTCCAAAAATTTCGACAACCTGGGGTTCTTTAACGTGCACGCAAATCCGAGCACTTGGGCATACAAAGCTTTCGCCTCTATCGAAAATGCAGCCGCAACGGGGATTTGATTCGGCGACCTGCGGGTCAGCCGCCGAGTACGTTCTAATGGACCACCGCGGCGGGGGGGATCACACGTAACTCTACAAAACACTAGTGTAAGAGAACACGGCCGCGCTAGGTACTCTCTGGGCACTGTTTCCTCGTTTTGAAAATGCAGACCGTAGAAGCTCCCGGATGCTCTGGGTGCACAAGGCGTGCGCTGATCGTTGCCGCGATAGCGCACGCCTTTTTACAAACACGGCACTCAATAAAACTCAATTGTCGACTCACTTTTGCCGTTATAAATTACTAAGCGCAAATTGTTCTTTTCTTATTTGGCAGAAAAGCACAACTTTTACATGTACTTTTGTATGTTATGCTCGGAACTGCCTTACCTTGTTTCTTGTTATCAATTTGAATTTATGGCTTAGCTTCTGCACTGCCTTTGTTTTAACCCAGCTTCGTCAGCTGTGCCAGGAACTTCAGTTCCCAACAACTCTGGTTCCCGGAGTGAGAACGGCTGGCCCCATCGTTCCCGTCTCTTTTGGCAGTGATTCCACGGTCGTTTCGTTACCGTCTGGGTCTGCGATTACGCCGTTAAGCACTGAAGCGACACCCCAGGGAGTAACCATTCCTCTCGGTGCTTGATTTCATTGTTGCACCCAAGACAGAACGACAAATGATGCAACATACGACTACGGTTCCTGTTGAAGCGATGAACTCAGAGGACTATAAAGAGGACGTATATTAATATTCATTTAATAAACTGGAGTGTATTAAAGCTGACTTATTGGTTCTCATTTCTCTAAGGTGGAACAGGTGCTCACATATACTTTGTGCACTGTCACTTTGTTTTCTATATGAAAGCTTGAAACAGTCCAATGTTTGCGTTAGCCCACGGTTCATGCATCGCCCACTTATTGTTAGCATGTGGTTACATGAAAAAATACCGCTTTATTATCTTTGGCAGATAGCTTCACTTTGCAAGATAGCTTCAAGATAGCTTTATTATCCAATGGCTTCATTTGGCAAAAGAGTATCAAAATAAGTTAGCGTGCTATCATTATCTCTGCACGCTCACAAAAAATATATATATGAGTGCAACCAGCGTCCTACCTTCGCGTATATTGGATAATCCACTTTTATATGTGCAAGGCTCGCTTCAATACATTCGCAGACTAACATTATTTTCAGTTCTGTATGCACAAAGAAATTAAGTGTGTTAGAAAAAGTGATGCAAAGTGATGCATCTTTAGCAGCGATTCTCAGGCTTTTATCAGGCTCTGATTGTGGACCTTTAAAGCATATGGGAAAACATGAGGGCGCGCTTTTAAAAAGGTGCCTAATAAATATTTTTCATACCAGCTATTGCAAAACAACTGGCTTTCAAACCATAAGAGTAAACGTGACTTTATTCTGCGTCCATGGCGAGCTATCTGTCTTGCCGTTCCTCGCGATCTCTGTGTCTTCGGCTTTCCCTTCTTCCCTCCCGATATCGCACGTTCAAGTTGCTTCCTTCTGGTTAATTTTGTCAACATTATCCGCGGCGGGCCAAGGTGAATCGGTGGCTTCGAGCAAGCAAATCATTTGCACAGGGCGATTCACCACAGATTCGTTGGCGAGACGAATGGAGCAAGCGCATATATGTTATCTCTCCCTGGCAATAGCTCAAGCACTCTACCCATTTTTCATGACGTCGCTGGTGCCGTTTATTCTTGCCAGAGCACTACATCACCAACTCAGAGCTTTGATGTTAGGCATGTCGAGCGATTGTGTGCAGACCGCAGCAATAGCAGGTACACTCATTTCCATCTCTCAAAGTTCCACTGTTAGATGCTGGTGATGACGAGCCTTTCTTTGCAGATCAACAGATACGTCAGGCTCCGATGGGCACGGTTGTAGCGATGATGTGCTGTGTTTAACCACCCAAAAATGCGATGGAGTTAAGAGCTGTAGCTTGTTGGGCTCACTTTCAAGATAAGTGAGGGGTTTGCCTTTGACCGCAGCTTCTACCTCACACAGCACTGTTCTGAGGCCTTCCACGTTAAGACTACTGCATCCGAGTGACTTCTTGAGCAGTTTTCGTCGTACGAATGAGGCGCTCCCACCATCCACCCCACTGTGGAGCGTGTTCTGTGATAAACTTCCATTGTATCCTGATCTCCACGGCGTACTAGCGAAGAGCGGTTAGCGCAGATGCAAACCATCTAGAAAAACTCCGAAACATCTGGGCGTTGTCAGAGTACACGATTGAGGGTACACTGCAGCGTGCAACAAAACGACGAAAAGCGAGCAAAGTTGCGGCGGTGGTCTTGTCTGATGTTAGCTCAAGGTGAATGGCCCATGTGACGGGGCACGAAAACAAAAGTATGTCAGTCCTTATTGGACCACTTGCTGACTTCGCGCACAGCGGCCTGCAGTAATCAAGCCCAACGACCGTGAAGGGGCTGGTTTCCGTAATTCTTTCGCGAGGAAGTTGGGCCATGGGTGCTGTCTCAACTGTAGTTTTCCAGCGTTTGCACATTTTACATCTTAAAATGATCCTCTTCACGGTTTGACGCCCTCGCAATAACCAGAAACGCTCTCAGCTCAGTGAGGGTTGCTTCAACACCACCATGGATCGTACGCGTATGTGCTGCCGAAACAAGCAAGCTGGTGAGCTTATGGTCACTTGATAGTAATGTGGGGTGACAAATGTCCTGTTCAGCGTGCAGCTCTTGCAATCACCCACCGACGCGATGTAGGCCGTCCTCATCCATAAACGGGCACAAACGAAGTACAAGGGATGTTGAAGGTAATGGCATACCTTTCTGCAGCGCTTGGACCTCTATTGGGAATGAGTCTTTCTGCATTATATGCAACCAATAATGCTCAGCTTGAAATAATTATTCTGCTGTCAGAGGACCACACGCTGATGGGAAGCATCTTGCGTGGCGGCTGAAATGCTGGATCCATGCAGCTACTCTTAGCAGTCTTGCAAAAGAGCTGTGGTTTTTCATGGGCACAACATTGCGGCGAACATTATTGCCGGATGAAGAAACGGATGAACTTTCTGCGGAAAATCCTCGATCATTCTACGGTGGCTGCGGTTCAGCGAACAGTTTTTTTTTTCGTTAGATTCACTGACATCTACTATTTCAGAAGACCTTGTTTTGTCACACAGCCAGCTTGGGCCATGCCGCCACTTGGACGGTTTGGTGAGATCCGAAAGTGATAGTGCTCGAGTGATGACGTCGGCGGGATTTTCTTTGCTGCTACAGTGAAACCATAGGGAAGGTCTGGTATGGTGCTGGATTTCGGTGACAAGGCGTGCTACAAATGGTTCCAACTTGGTCACTGAACTCTTTATCCAGTTTAGTGCCACAAGCGACTTCGTTTAAAAGGCAGCACTGGCATGTTGGAAAAAAGCTACATTTTGCACGTAGCGTATAAGCCGCACCGTGATGGTGCATGCCAAGAGCTCCAGGCGTGAAAGCAATACCATTTTCAAAGGAGCAAGTCGGCCCTTGCTGACCAAGTGTCACGTGAAGCACGTTTTGGGTAGTGAGTTCACTCGTAAGTAAAAGCAAGCACCGTATGCACTAGGACTGGCATCTGCAAAGATGTGCAGCTCAAATAAAAAGGGCTTATTTTTTCTCGTAAGGATATATATCGTGAAATAGTAATGGACGAGTCAGACAGCTCAGAACACCAACTATTCCATTCGGCCTCCTCACCTTCAGGCATACTGGCATCCCATGCAAGATTTTAAAGACGATAGTCTTTCTTGAGAACATTCGACGGAAAAACGTGGGTCTGTCTGCTGTCTGTACAATTGTCTGTTTGTCCCCACTAACGATACCTCAAATGGCACCAAACTGCCAACCCCATTTGCACCGCCCACAAATATTGCGTTTATAGTTAGCGTTATAGTTGTGCGATTGTCAATTAAAAAGCAATTATCGCGCACATCTGAGGTGTCATAACAAATCTTCGAAGTTTTGTCTGTCTGCCTTTATACTGGAAGAGGCACACACAAGTAACTCTAAGAAATGTACCGTTAATTGCGCGGCGCGGACAGTGCAACGCGATGCTCAGAAAGGTGTTTCCAACGCTTTGCTACGAGGTCGCGGTGGTGGAAACCTGCCCGTCACTTTGCGTTCTACACCTTATCACCACCGAGACAGGCAGGCATCTTTCTCCGCGGGCTGCACGCCTTCGTTTTCGAAGATAACTGCCAGATGGCGCTTGTGTCGAACGTGCCTCGATACGCTCGTTCACCTCCGCTACAAGCTTGAGGCATTCTAACGCAGCGCCTCCAGAATACCCTTCACCGATTTTTTTTGCGCACAACATCAAATGAACGTTTTGCTCACTCTCTCTAGACGCAAGACTAACGTCTTTCGACTACATTTGCGGTGTAACATGCAAATTTTGAACCAATTTTTTTTCCATAGATTCTGGAATACCATCTTAGCCTTTATGGTGAATGGAGTGAGGCAACCCAGTGGGTCGTATACTCTGGCCAAGGTTTTCAGTGCTGTACGTTTGGTAGCCGGCTTTCCGGCGGCAAACATAGCTGCGTGCTCAGTGCCCTAGATAAGATGATCGCCTGAACGTTCTCAGGAAACACCCTAAACCTTCATCTTCAGATTGTCTCCAGCTTAATTTTCGATGGTGCAGCTGCCAAGCGAGAATTTTTCTTTTGGCTCGTCGCAATTTGAGGCCCACTTGCGAATTTGGATGCTTGACTCGAAGAAGATTTGTTAAGTTTCTTCGTATAAGTTCATTGCCGCCCGCGTGCTGGGTAGCCCGATGATAGGATCATCTACGTGGAACGCGTGCTTTAATAACGCTACGTTGTCTGGATAGTTCTGCTGACAAGATAACAGGTGATGATGAATTGTAGCCGGCGAAAGAAATGGCATTGATGCAGCTCCAAACGGTACTCTGGTCATCCTCCAAGTTGTAATCGATGGCATGGGCTCTTCTTTAGTTGGCCGTCGTTCCATCCACAAAAACATCAGAAGGTAGCGATCTTTGGACTGAATCAACAGCAGGAGGTATGCCTTTTTTATGTCGGCTACACAAACAACAGGATGGCATCAAAAGTTCAGCAGTAGCTGGACAATGTCCACGCCGAGTTTGATGCCCTTTGATAGGACATCGTTGAGGCAGGGACGACCAGCTTCTTGTGATGACGCATGAAACACCACTCGAACGTTCGTTGTGACGGCGTCCCGACGAACTACAGCACGACGAGGCATTTAATATGCATTATCTCCGACTGGCTGCTCTTCTTGCACCGTCTCAGCATGTCCATCATTGAAATTTGCGGTAATTACCAGGTCATATTTCTCTATTAACGTTGGCTGCTCTCGGAATCGGTTGATTGGACGCTGCAGTCACTCTTCTGCCAGTCGGCGATTACTGTTTCTGGCTGGTAGTCCTGGCTGTTCCACCATGAGCGGCCCCTGATAACGTCTACCGCGCTTCGTTATGTAGCATTCAAATGCGGAGAGGTGCGCGTCGACCTCCAACGGTTGTTAATAGCTTCCATCGATTCCGATGGCATCAAGACGCCACATCGACGATACGTCTATGTCTGTGGGAGAAGAATCGCGGCTCGATATGAACAGTGCGATAGACGGGTACTGGATGTCTGACGATAAGGATTCTTGTAGCATCCATCCAAACGTTGTTTTAATCGCTGTTAGCATCTCGTTGATGCGGTGAATCTTGCCAGTGGTCACCTTCCAATAGGCATATGATCCTATCAGCACGGTGATGTCACCTTCTTGCCATGT